AAAATGAGGACCCGGATTGTTGTTGGGGGCGATATGCTGACTCTGTAAATCCGCTTAGAGAGGGTTGAAAGCCCTATGAAGCGGTATATAAATCTAACTGCTATTGCTATTGCTATAATTCTTGAGTTACGACCATTCGTTCAGCAAAGGGCCAGGCTAGGTGCATTTGGTCAGCAACGGGGACAAGAAAATGGTAAAGATCAACTGGGTTGGTAGAGGGCAGGGAGGCATGGGCCTTGGAGTACAGGCAGTGGTGGGCTGCTGCCAGTTCGGACCGATTCGGGTGAACCGGTAGTTACAGCTAGCGGATAGGCCCGCCTGCTCATCCCTGCGTTATCCCATCCTATATAATCACTCCAAAGGGCGCAAAGCGTGTGTGTGAAACTATCCTGTCCTATGCAGTCGCCCTGTTTTCGAGCACAGAGTGCATGTGCGCAAGGCGCACGCTCACATTTTCGATTCTGGGTGAACCCATTGTTAAACTAGGTGATATACTGGGGGGGGGGGATGCGTCTAAGTTTCTGCACTATGGTGTTGAGCCAGGTTGGGGTAGCCAGGGCTCCCCAGAAGAGCTGTAGTTTCACATTGCAATGCGGATCAGAGGCTTCTTGTCGCTCCAAAGAAGCTCCTGGACCACAGTGAGGTAAATAACCGCTGAGCCAAGTGGTTTTGGTGCTGTTTGCTGCCCCTCAGTGGGATACGGAATGGCCGAAAAGGGCAGAGATATGAATGAGTAGGCAATTGGGGAGAGTTGAACAGGAGGCAGTCCCTTATCTTGAAAGAACTGAGTCTCAAGGCTCAGAGGGGCCAAGCCAGAAATGGCATGGATGGGCGTGGATCCTCAGCTAATGTCCAGGGTGATTTGGTTTATGACAGCAACAGGGAGTGCCAGGATCACTGTCCGTATGCAATGCAGTCATGTGATGTCGTGCATTATGACTGTATCACTTAACCATTGGAATTCCGGTCCTAATTTGTAACTTGAGGACTACCTGTATCAGGGAGAAATTGAGGAGTCTTATGTCAGTGGGCTCCAGATCTCTTTATGACTCTTTCCAGCAAGCTCATGTGGGCATCAAGTAGCATTACAGACAAGGTGGCATTTTTGTGGCCCCCAATCTAAAACTACTTAATGACTTTAAAACGGTGCTCTCAATCTTCATAGAAATGGTTAGATGCCCTGGTTATTTCCTTGCCAAGCTTAAAGCGTCAAAATGTGCTATTCTTTTAGGAAAAGGAAGAAAGTGGCAAGCTTTCTTTCATGACATTGTGCCCACCTTTTAGCAGATCTACACCTGCTTGTTGCTTAGTAAAGTGTGGAGTAGTTTCTCTTGCTGGGAATGTTGTGTGGCCCTTTGGAGCATGATAATACAGCAATGCAGTGGAAACAATAAGTAGAAAACTACCAAAGCAGAATACAAAACTGTGTCAGTTATTTCAAGCCACTAGAAGAGAGAGGCTGCAGACAAATCAAACTCTCCACAACTTGTAGTTCCACCTGGTTTTTAATCGTAGGATAGATTTGCATGATGTTGGGAAAAGTCAAGAGGTCCAAGTGCATTTAATAGTTTCATTCCCTTTAGCTAGGGAGAATTGTTAGCGGTAAAAGTACCATATTTTGGGGAGTATAAGACGCATCCCCCCCACTCAAAAAAAAGTGGGTGGGAATGTCTGTACATCTTATACAGTGAATATTACGGTGGGGGGGAGGACGAATGGGCTGCGGTGAATGGACTGTGGTGAACAGGCTGCGGCGGTGGCAGACAGATGGTGGTGAATGCGCTGCGGCGGCAAACGGGCCAGCTGAATACCGCAGGAATGAAATGCTATCAGTTCGGACCAATTCACCAGAACTGGTACTATCGGTTTGGCTGAACCAGTAGTTTTGACAATCAGCTGATTGTCATGCAGCTGATTGTCAGAACTACCAGTTCGCCTGAACTGGTAGCATTTTTTTTTACTACCGGTTTGGGTGAACTGCGCACAAAGTGCGCATGTGTGCGCAAAGCAAACCAGTAGCAGAATTTGGAGCATTTCACCCCTGGAATACCAGATGGTTGCTGGGAGGCAGATTTTTTTTCTTGTTTTCCTCACCAAAAGCTAGGGTTAGGGTTAGGGTGTCTTATAGTCCGAAAAATACGGTATGTTGGAATTGTAATTCAGAAGCACATAGAAAACTGCAGACTTCCCTATCCCTGCCATAGTATCCACCCAGCAGGGTGGATGCCATCATAACTTTGTGGGAAGGATTCATGATGAATGGTTTGCCTACAGCAGACTCCCTAAATTCGAAACATACCACTTAATTTAAGTGGATCAAGGACTACAGAAAAAGGGAAAAATACTGTCTCTAAAACTCTGGGAAATCATAGCCAATCCAAATAGACAAAACTAGATGATCTGTCTCCAAAGAAAAGCCATTTCATATAGACTGGCTCGACTTTTGGTTTATATGTTAACCAGGGTCGTGATTATTATTGTTGTTCGCGCAATTAAGAGGGGAAAATGAATTTTTAAAATTGTTTTAGTTGTCATCTTTGAATATGGCTCTGCAAGAACATTTAACGTGATGGCAAAGCTGGATCAGATGGGGCTGTTATAAACTCTTGAGATTCATGTTCTATGCCAAAGTGGAATTAAAGAACTAGAATTTATCAATATTACATCAGGCCTTTGTGCATTTAGAGAGCTGGCAGTCACAGTGGTTTTGGAAATAGATATAGCTAATATTCCCTCTGCGATTATCCGATTAGATGCGCTCTCTTTTTCCCCTTTATTTTAAACATTGTGCATGTAGCCTATAAAAATCCAGACAACCACTGATGGTAGCATGGAGATAACAGAAGATTCATTGTTGCTTTCTAGTGGTCATCTAGATTTTTGCCACCCAGATAAGTGTCTTCTGTGTTCCTCTAACCATTCTATGGTATTGAAACAAGGTTTACTCAAAACATTAAGCCAGAATATAATTAACATATTTTTCGGACTATAAGATGCACTGGTGTATAAGATGCACCAAGATTTCAAAGAGATAAGTAAGAAAAAAAAGGTTTTGTCTTCCCGGCCCTTAGGAGCACTCTGCAAGCTTCAGCAGGGCTGGGGGAAGGCAAAAACATCCCTGTTTTTGCAAAAAACGGGCAGAAAATGGGCTGTTTTTCACAAAAACAGAGGTGTTTTTGCCTTCCCCCCGATCCTGCTGAAGCCTGCAGAGTGCTCCTAGGGGCTGGGGGAAGGCAAAAACGCCTCCGTTTTTGCGAAAAAGAGTCTGCTTTTTGCAAAAATAAGATCCGGGATGGGGCTTCAGGAGGCCAAAAATGGCTGTATTCGGTGTATAAGACGCACCAACATTTCCACGCTCTTTTAGGGAGGGTGGTGGAAGGTGCATCATATACTCCGAAAAATACGGCAGTTTCTGATGTGATGGTAATTTGCTCTTGATAGTTTAGTGTTACAAGTTAACCAAATCATTATGGTTTGTTCAAAGAAATTAATTTCAAAGATCCTAATTCTTCATGCCAAGAATTATTCAACATAATTCTGGGCATGAAGTAGGATAAGTGGGGATCTTACCAGGAGTATTAATTTAGGTGTTCTGTTTGTTGCTGAATGCTAGTTGCTTATTTACTCTGATTTCCTGTTTTTATTATATGCAGTTTTGTTTTTATTGATTTAAAAATGTATGTTACTTCTCTTAAACACATTTCCAGCAGCGAATACCCCCCTATTCACAAAAAACCTGATCTAATAAAAATCACATCAAATACTAGGCACAACTAAAATATTTGTAAGGATTAAATGACTATATTTTAATGTATGTGTACAATTTTAATTGTGGAAGGTGTCCCATTTCAAGAATATAAAGCGATAACTATTCTGAAAATACTGTATTCTCATACAAACAAGAGGAATTCTGGGGTATCAGAAAGCAATCTTTCTGTTTTGAGTTTCTAATCTTGAAATCTGCCCATTAATATCATGCACATTTTTACACTTGCTGCTCAAAAAGAAATGGAGAAACTTCTGGAGTCTTCTGGAAGAAACCAGACAAAAACGTAAGGAATGATTGATTAGCTGCAATGAAAAGATTTGTCAATAAATGTTACATATTAAATGACACTCTTTCTGTTTGGGTATCAGTGCAATGTAATTTGGCCAGCCCGATATTATTGGAAATACTGTATTTTTTGGAGTATAAGACGCACCAAAATTTTGAAGAGGCAAATAAATAAAAAAACAGTTTTTGCACTCTGCAGACCTCCTGAAAACGGGCCCGTTTTTTTGTCCCAAAAATGGCCATGCATAGCCTTTAGGAGGCTTGTAGAGTGATTCTGGGGGCTGGGGGGATCAAAAACGAGCAAAAAACAGCCCATTTTTTGAAAACACGGGCCCGGTTTTCATCCCAAAAAAGGGCATGCATCGCCTTTAGGAGGCTTATAGAGTGCTCTTGGAGGCTGGGGGGGGGATGAGCAAAAAGCGTCCCATTGTTTGCTCAATTTTGCCCTCTCCAGCCACCAGGAATACTCTGGAAACCTCCTAAAGGCTATGCACAGCCATTTTGGTGAAAGGGGGGGGGGGGTTCGATAGGCCAAAAATAATGTGTTCAGTGTAGAAGACGCACCCAGATTTTCACCCTCTTTTTTGAGGGAAAAAGATGCGTCTTATACTTTGAAAAATACAGTAGATAAAGCTCAACAAAAATTATATTTGAGGTGTGGAATGAGAACATTTGGCAATGACTTGGGGCAGGGAGGAAGAAAACATAAATTTGTGAGACTGGAACCACTGGATCTATGCTGAACTTTTTTCTTTGTAGCGCTGTTGGACTCACTCACCAAGAACAAACAAACAGCCGATGACCATTCGCAACCCAAGGAATCTTCCAATCTCGGCAGTCAGAAAAGGACCGAGGATTTTGCTTCAGCCAATGGAGAAGCCGGGGGTGATACCAGCAAAGGTTACACTCAGGATCAAGTGGGTGCTGTGAAGAGGTAAGATTCTGACCAACAGACCACAGTTACAATCATAGAACAACTTGTCGGTCACAGTTGGAAGAGTAACTGGGGGATGTGGCAGCAATCTCATAGAATAGACCAGTGTTTCTCAACCTTGGCAACTTGAAGATGTCCGGACTTCAACTCCCAGAATTCCCCAGCCAGCGAATGCTGGCTGGGGAATTCTGGGAGTTGAAGTCCGGACATCTTCAAGTTGCCAAGGTTGAGAAACACTGGAATAGACTACTGTCAGGCCTGGAAGCCATCTTTTGCATTGGGGGGATTATATGGAGTATGGGAGATATACAGTCATAATAACATTCCTTTCTCAGAGTGTCAAGGACGTCTTGCCCTATACCTGAAGGGGTATGACTAGGAGGCACCTCCAGTTGGGACAGGGCCTAATTGGGGTATGTGACGGACATATGGGGGCTGGGCAGGGACTTGGACTTTCATTTGGGTGGGGAAAATCTGGAAGCTTTCAGATTTGGGTTTTCCCAGATGTGCCAATATGACATCTCTCATAAAATGGAACTTTGAAGAACGTCAAGTCTCGGAGTCTTCTTTCCGGGGGGGGGGGGCATTGATGATGATACTAATAAGAGGAGATAGTAGAAAAGGTGAAAAATACAGCCATACTAAATGGGTAAATGTATGTAAGGCAGGACTACACTTTGATCAATAGCAGTCTCAGTCTTTGGGAAAGGGAGAGGGAATTCAGAAGACATCTGACAGGAGGTGTTTCTTCAGCGGGGGTAAAGATCAACTGCTTAAATGTTGGTTGCTTGAAAATGATTTGTTTGGCTTCTTATAATTTGCTTTTTGAATTACAATTAATGTGGCTTGAAGTGGAAAAATACACTGCTGTTGGCAGCAGATTTGGATAGTGAGAAGATTGGGGAGGAACATAGGCCAGTCTTGGATAATGGGGAAGGCTCTGATGGGGGCTCTGTGTCGGAGGCAGAGACGGGACCAAGGCCATCTGACAGTTATCAGCTGCCTTCAGAGTCAGACATCAGTGAGGCAGACAAACAGCTGGAGCCTGTTCCCAGTGTGCACATGCGCAGAGAGGCCAGATGAAGAGAACAGCTAAAGAACAGGGATCGACTTGGGAATAAGGCCACAGGTGGATGATGAATGGCCCCTCCCATAGGGAATAGAAGAGGAGTGAAAGAGGAGGGGAGTTTGCAGGAGACAATGAGTTTGCTTAATTGGTTTGTGACGAGACATCGGCCTGTCAGCTCTCTAAGCTAGATAAGGTCTATGATTGTAAATCCTCCCTTGAAAAACTTCGCTGGATGTGAATGAGCAAAATTCAGACTCAATTAATAAAATGTTTTTTTGTTGGCACAAGGTGTTTGCTTCATGCTCTTGGGAAGCCTAGATCAGAACAACTGCTATTATAGAGGATAATACTTTTAGTGGTTTTTTTAATCTAGATTTTTGTGAGGAAATTATGTCTAAAGGTGTTTTTTTTAAAGTCTTCCTCTTCTGTTTATGTTTAGTTCCCTGAGTTATTTTCTTTAAAGTAATATAGGCGTGTGCCACTTGAGGGCACAGTTTTCACAGGGTTGAGTTTGAGCTTCAGTCCAGTATTTGGGTTCTATCCAGAAAAGGGAAGGAAGGCACTGTATTGCTATGAGTTTTAATTCAGGGGAAGCAGAACCTGTAATTTTACATAGATTGTCAAATGAGGTGTTTCGTCTATTCAACTTTTAGGGTGAAACAATGTAAAGACTATTATGAAATCCTGGGCGTCGGCAGGGATGCCTCTGACGAGGATCTGAAAAAGGCCTACCGGAAATTAGCTCTAAAATTTCATCCTGATAAAAATCATGCACCGGGTGCCACGGAAGCATTTAAAGGTATGTTGGAAGAAATGTCCTTCTGGGTTCAGTTCCAAGTGGGGAGGAAGAAACACTGGAAACATGGGGGGCTGCTTGGAAAGATGGTTTTAATGGTGGACAGGATCACATGGCTTGAGATGCTGGGAAAAAAGGGAAGAGATGCTGAGAGTGCCCTGCTTTTATGCCCTCTCTGGGCCCCACCTTAGAGCTTCCTATTCCTGTGTAAGAAAGGTATTCTTACTGGTGGTCAGACTCCTAGGGGAGCGGGGGTCCTTGCTAACTTTGTAGGCTGTCTGTCTTTTGAGTCCCAAGCTTGATTGAGCTGTTGCTGGGTGATGATGTAATGAAAGGGCTCTGGGATTCCTATTATGGCTCTGCCTGAAGGAGGTAGATCTTTGTTATGTAGAATAGACTGTCTCAGGCCTTAATGGTCCATTGACGAAGGTGTGGGGAGCTGAGTTTCTCCCTTGCTTTTAGGGGAAATATTCTGCCCTTTTAATATTTCCTAAAATATCTCATTTTCCTAGGAGAGGGGTGGGTGCTAACTTCCTACAGGTAAAAATACCCTTTTTCTTCCAAGAGGCGTGTCTTTGCCCCTTGAAAATCGTACCTTTTAGTGACAGAAGTCCACCAAAGAGGGCTGTTGTTGGTTTGCAATCATTAAAAAAGAATTGGAAAGGGTACAGTAAATTGACTCGTGGCTCAGTGGCTAAGACACTGAGCTTGTTGATCAGAAGATTGGCAGTTCAGCAGTTTGAATCCCTAGCGCCGCGTAATGAAGTGAGCTCCTGTTACTTGTCCCAGCTTCTGACAACCTAGCAGTTCAAAAGCATGTAAAAATGCAAGTAGAAAAATAGGAACCACCTTTGGTGGGAAGATAACAGCGTTCCGTGCACCTTTGGCATTTAGTCATGCCAACCACATGATCATGGAGATGTCTTCAGGGAGCGCTGGCTCTTCGGCTTTGAAACGGAGATGAGCACCGCCCCCTAGAGTCGTGAATGACTGGCACATATTTGCAAGGGAAACTTTACCTTTACCTATTATTCTATCATTTCTCCAATTTGCCTTTTTGGGTTGTTGCTGTTTAAATTGTGGCTTTCCCCAGCGACTCTGCTTCCAGAGGGAGAAAGAATTAAGGTTATAGCCTAAAAAAACCCAAAGCTTCATTTTAAGCTCCGTTACTGAGACGCTCGTTCTTCATACCTGGATCCTTGAGTCTACTTTTGACATACCTGCAGAAGGTCTAAATATAAATGCACGTCCGATGAGGGGAAGTTTATAGCCTGAGATTTGTTGAAAGGATGAAGAGATTCAGCAAACCTCTATTTCAAAGGCTTGGGCTACCAAGCCGCTGTCAATCACTAAGGACTAATAGCTGCCATCCGACTTTCTTCAGACAAATGTACTTTGAACTAAACATGGAAGAATAATTTATATTGCCAGCTATCACCCTGGATATAACTCTGTGT